GGAAAAGGGAAGGGGCAGATTGGAGAGGAGGTCTGCCTCGACAGGAGTGCCAGGGGGAGAGGAAGCTTTTCGCTGCCTTGACCCTGGGGTCAAAGCCGCCCAGCGCGCTTCCGTTAGCGGCGCGGCGGCTGTCAGACCTTCCCAGCCCAGCGCCCCCCCCCCTCGCCCAAGCCGCTCGCAGTCAGGCGATTCTCCAAAACCCTCGCATTTAGCGCGTTGAGCCGGCGTCGGTGCCGAAGAGCTTAACCACGCTCCATCAATCACGAGGTTAAGTAAGGCCGAGACCCCGCGGTTCCTGGATGTGAACTATCTGGAACCTGGACAACGCCGAGCTCCTGGCTGGAAAGGATAAAAGGCAATGACTGACGAAGACTGACTAAAGGCGACGAATTACTTCGACGGTAGTAAGTGGTTAAGAGCACGTTGTTACGAAAAAAACGCTTAACACAATGTTATTCGCTTCGAGCATTGCAGCATCAAATAACCCCCTCCCGCTGAATGGGAGGTTCATCCTTTCTTTCCTCACCCCTAACGTGACACACACTTAGATGCGCTTGGACTACTCACACAAGTTGGAAGGAGCTTAGTCCCGGCGGGGCGGTTCTCGTGAGCAGATTCCTGGTCTTGAGAAACCCCACTCGCCGACCGTGTAGTGGCGCGGATCTTCAACGTCCTGCGGGGGAACATCAGGCCCAGAGTGGTATTCTCCCGGAAAACACCCGGTCTTCTATGAGAAGCCGTGTCCGCGGTGCAGGTTGCTGAGCGCGGCTGCCGGGCGGCCGGCCGTGATTCCAATGGCGCGGGCAGCACAGAAGCGCGAGTGGGCTGCCGCGTCACTTGATCCCTCGCGGCGGCGGCGGGCCCGCCCGGGCGTCATCGCCCACTTGGAGGCAGGGCAATGTCGCAGCCCGCTCCGGCCAGCGCGCCCAGCGCGCCCCGCCCCGCCCCGCTGCGCCCCGCCACCTGCGCCGCCAGCCTCCCCTCTTCCCTGCCCCCCTCCCCTCCCCTCCCCCGCCACACCCCCTCCCCGCCCCCCCCTCCCGCTACGCCCCTCCCGACACGTCTCTGCAACCGCCGCCCCTCTCCACGCACCTTTACGCCGACCCTCCCCTCCCCGACACGCCCTCCCCACCACGCACTCCCCACCACGCCCCTCCACCATTATCCTCCCAGCCACTCAGCCGCTGAGCAGTAGAATATATTTTTTTAATTTACGTCTCTACCTTGGACAAGTTTATTCTGGGGAAATAAGTACATAGTTTTTTGCTTTTCTGAAACGACAGCAGATAGTTGTGATATACTCTGAAATGTAGACATTTGTGCTAGTAAATGAAGCGAGGTTTGAAGATTTTTATTTGATTTCGTTTGAAAGATTTGAACCGTCTTTGAATACCTAGATTTGATACGGGGTATTCAGGCATTGCGACCTAGACTAACATTAAGGAGCATGGGAAGAAAAAGGTTTTGATACAAAAAATAAGCTTATTCGTGGTTAATCCAACAAATACCTAGGTCACCAGTCTACAAACGACTTAATTGCAACTTGAGTTCGCAAATATTATTTTAATACCCATTTCAAACTTTGTATAATTGTAAGCTAATTTAAAGACAAGGCTGGCAACACCACAACTGAATATCAAAAATTACCGTCATGTATAAACCATTTATATGGTCTAATTATGATTAAATTTCTGAGTTATTGCTTATTACAGTAGTTTCCATTTATTAGAGATGTTTTCTTGTTTTAGACAACAAAAGATAATCAAGGATGAACATTTATTCAGAATACATTCAAAACAGGTATTTACGTTGATAAGGTTGCAGCTAACAAATTACTACTTGTCGAAAACGTTTCATGAAATCTATTTAATCCAGTTTCACCAGTGCCTGAAAAGATCATATCAAAATCTTCCTCTAATTAATACACGTCTTCATTCGAGTGCGACTTTCATATTTAAATCCTTAATTTTAGCAACCATGAGTCACGGCATGTCCAGTTTAGTGCCTTTAG